TCAGGAGCGCGGTCATTTGGATCTGGGAGCCACCACACCAGCACCTCGACGCTCAATCATCGCCCTCTAACCCCAGGGGAGAGGGCTGGGCTGGTTCCGAATAAAGGGGTCGTGGCCGGTGGATCGGTGGATCTCAGTGGAGAAGGAGGAGCTGGCTTTGGGAGCACACCGTCAGAGCCGAGATGGTGAAAGAAGCCCTTGTGGCGAAGTCGATTCAGACTCTTGGCATCCCTTCAGGGCCGGGCAGGACTGCCCATCAGTTTTCCCCGGCTGTCATTTCCACAGAAGCAGGTTGTCCACGTCTGGCTCCCATAGTGGGTGTGAACCGTCCACCTGTGGGTCAGCAGTCTCTGAGGGGAGCTAAGAAAGGCTGGAACTGGAAGGCTCCTCCCCACAGATCAAGAGGTCATAGGGGTCCCTGTGAGTGGCCAGCAGCAGCCCGGCTATGACCCACTGCAGGCCCTGCTTGCCCATCTTGGCGTCTCTGTTTCTTCCGGGTGGTGCTGTGAGGTAGGCCTTGCACTTGCTAGCCATGAGGTCAGAGGTTGAAACCCACTGCTGTTCTCGGAAGCCCTGTGCGAGGGCCGTATGCGTTGGTGGGGTCTAGTTGGTGGTGGGTGCGCTGTTTCCCAGAGTCCCTGGTCGGCACAGATCGTTAAGCACTCATCTACCTACTGCAAGGTGGCTGGTTCGAGCCTACCCAAAGGCACTTCTTAACAATGACCTGGTGGGTTGCCTACTTTGGGAAAGTCAGCATTGGAGCCCTGGTGATGAACAGTTCTACTCGGACCCACCTGGCCACCCTGAGGGTCAGCTGCCTGTGGGGCCTACACTTCCCAGTCCTCACCCCTCCTCCTCGGGAACAGGTGAAAGGCCCGCTTCCACACGCCTTCGAGAGCAAACCTAGTTGCGGCCTCTTCCCTCAGAATCCTCAGTGTGTCTCTATAGCAACAGGGATAGGTTTACGGAACCAGGTAACATTCTCTGTGGCTGTGGAGGTCCCCTGGGGGGGCAGGCTTGGGGGCAGCAGCTCCCCTGGCAGGTTGAAGCCTCAGTCAGGGGTGCTAAGTGGGCACGGCCCGTCTGAAACCAGGCGGCCTCACTGGAGCGAGCATTTGATTTGAACCCCAAAGCATTTGATTTGAACCCCAAAGAGACCACCTCCAGGGGAGGCACTGTGGCTCAGATCCTTCTGGGGAAGCCCCTGGCCCTCTGCTTTCTCCAGGGTGATGCCGGCCTGTCTCTTGACCCCAGGGCTCCCTCAGCCCTGCCCTGGAGACAAATGTTGGGACCCAAGCCTCAGGCACCCTGCCTCCAAGCTGTGGCTTCTCCCAGGGGCCCGGCTGAGGCTGTATCCTCTGTTTCCTGGGATTAACACCAGCTGGGGCTGATGCCTCTCCTGGGCGGAGAGATCTGAGCGTCTGCCAAAGGCAGACATGTGTGGGCTCTTGAACAACTCGGGGCTAAGGGGCACTGGCCTAACTGCTGACTCCCCAAACATCCACTGCTCCTGGCCTTATCTGCACCAGCAGCCGCACCGATGGCATAAGCAGCCGACGAACGTGCGCTCTGTCTGGTGTATGTGTCAAATCTGCATGTTCAGGGTGAGGTTAAAAAGGTACGGTAGTTTGCAAGACATTGTACCAGGTCTCCCTCCCTGCCGCGTCACTGCCGCCACAGCTTCTGGGATGGTCTGGTCTTGCTTGTTCGGCATTTTGGGCACCCAGCTGCAGACCAGTGTGTGGTGCACAATATCACGTTTCCTCTGCTTTGGGAGAGAACTGCCAACATCTCCTGAAGCACTTTTTGTCGGTCCCTTCCGAAAACCAAACCAAGCTCACTGCCATTGAGTCCACGCTGACTCAGAGACCACCCACCCCCCGGCTCCCATGGGTTTCTGAGACTGTAACTGTTTACAGGAGTAGAAAGCTGAGTCTTTGTCCCGCCAAGCGGCTGGCGGTTTCAAACCGCCGGCCATGCAGATCGCAGCCCAGTGCGTGACCACCACACCACCAGGGCCCCCTTTGGTACCACTTAACTTTGCGGTCTTGAACTGAACATGATGAAAACTCTGTGAGGCCCAGGAGAGACCTCTTGTGACTGAGAGACGCAATCTCCTGTAGAGACACGCAGTTCACAAAGAGATGTGTGGCACTGCACACGGTGTGGACAATCAACCAATCAAAGCGTGCGTCGGCTCCAACCCGTGTTGTTTGAGAGTCAGCTGCCAGACCCTACTAATACTCTCTCATCAGTATGGCATTCCCAGCCCTGAGATAAACCACCACTGCCCTTTCTGCCACATCGCACACCAGGAACCTTGAGCAGAATGCTCTAGTCCCGAGACCCAAAAAAGAAGCCCTGGCTGTCGGATCGATTACACTCCTCCTCACCCTCATGTGCCAGTAGAGCTGCCCACGGGGGATTCTTGGCTGTAATCTTTGTGGTTTTTTTCTCTTAC